TAATTATCAATCGGCAGCCAGGCACGAACTGTCGAAATTAGGTTAATTGACATCCTGCTTCGGTCCCGTATATATGTCATGCGCACCTTGGGTTCGCCTCAGCAGCATGATAACAGGCCCAACATCTATGACAGGTGGTTGCCAGTTGACAGTAGATTTGTGCCGATTAATATTAATTGTTGACACATTTTCGGTCGGTTGATAATTAAATAACAATAAATAACATTGTGTTTTCTAATCAACCAAAACGTGTGGAATTCTCTTGAGATAAACAATATGATTTTTATACAACTCAACATTTTTGTATTATATTGATTCTATACAATTCAACAAGATAATAATAAAGTAAAATGTTGAGTTCGATTCTGGCTACCGCATTTAATTTATAATAATTAATCAAGAATTAACTAAATAAGTTTCGGCGAAAACTCAATTCGGTTTTTATAACGTGATTGTTTAAAATCAACGTTACAAACTATAGATCAGAAAAATAGCGGTGTTGCACATCCCCCCATGTTTCACATAACCCCACATCACCCTACAAAAATATTACTTATTTACGAAATAATTTATAATTATATAATTTCGTAAAATTAGCTAAAGTAATGCTTTAATAAATATTTAAAAATTGTTATTTTATAAAAAGTAGAGCGTATGACCCCCAATCAACTGCGTCAATTACGAAGACTTTTTGAAAAATACAATTATTTACTATTTTATAATAATATAGCTATTTGGAAATGTTTGAAAACATTATTTTTGATCTTACTTGATACAATTTTCGTAAAGAAACCGGTGTTAACAAACTTGATTGGAGATCATATTTGCGAACTATGAGAGATAAAAATTTGATTTTTCCGAAAAAATGTCAAAAAATGACCCTGTTCCCATACTGAACTTCTACATATCGTCACCTATTGGGCTAAAATTCTATACACATTTTCATTTTCAATTGTAGATTTGGGGAAAATTTTAGCGAACCTGATTGGAGATCATATTTGCGAACTAGGAGAGAAAGAATAGTTATTATCGTATCAAGGGCGCAAAAGTACTTTTGCGTCCGCTTGTCTGACGTCAGCGGGCGTAAAAGAACGTTTGCGCCCGCTTCCCCGACCCCGGTCGAGAATCAGTTACTTTGCGCCCACTTTAAGTGCCCGAGATGACATACTTTTCGTGCAGGTAGGACAAAAATTTAATTTTTTCGAAAAAATGTCAAAAAGTGACCATGTCTCCATACTGAACTTCTACATATCGTCACCTATTGGGATTATATTCGATAAACATTTTAATTCTCAATTGTAGATTTTGGCAAAAATTTAGGGAACCTTATTGCAGGTCATATTTACGAAATAGAAAGAAAAAAATTAAATTTTTTCGAAAAAAATTTTAAAAATGAGTATTTTCTACCTTTAACTTTTATATTTTGTGACATATTGAGCTAAAATTTAGTACACATTTGTAGTTTTACTTGTAGATGTGAGATTAGGCAATTTTTCAATATATAAAAAATATGAATACAAAGAAATTAAACACAAAAAAACATTAATCAACCTCGAATTTCAACAAAAAAATTAAAGAAAATTACCTACTGCTTTTCTCGTGCCATAATTCGAGAAAATGTCGCAGTCACCTTCAGCGCCAGACTTACAAATAAGTCAACGTCAGCAACAACAATTAATCTCAAAAAAAATTTAATATTATAATATTCCAATAATTAACAACATTAATAAAAATAATCTTGTCTCCACTACTATTTTGGGCTGGTCAAAAATAATTAATTTGCTGGCTTAGTCATTACAAAAAAAATTTTAATTCACCAGAAGGAAAGCGAAAGAGCACCTGGGGGGGTTTCATTGTTGAGAGCAAAAGAAAAGAATTTGGGAACAAATTCCAACATAAAAAAAATAAAACCAAGAAATTTTTCCATAATGAACAAAAATCTATATTCTTAAAATAAACAATTTTTAAGTCCGTGTGGTTTAACAATTATTAAAAGGAATTTACATTATTATCATAAATGAAAAGAAATCTACCTCGACGCCATACATAAATGTCATTTCTCGACCCAGCAATTCTCGGTACTTAACAACAATTTTTAAGTTCTATTCTAGATTCTCTACAATCCACGATAAATTCATTCTAACGTTATTTTTACTCACGATAAATTGTCGAAAAGAATTCACATCAAAAGAACATTATTTCTCTCAATTTAATAAACATCAGCGTAGTTCGTTAGGTAATGTTCATGTGTGTTGTGGCGTCAAACAGTCAGAGTGTAAAAGCAGTAAAATTTATTTCCAAAGCTGGAATCCAAAATTCCAGCTAATGAGGGGCGTCAAACAGCCAAAAGTAATAACGTCACAAATACCATACGTGGGTGGCGTCATACAGCCAAGCGGTGTGGATTCAAACATCCAATCGTCAGCGGAGTCAGTTTTCCCCATAGTCGACGATATAGTAGTACGGCGTCAAACAGCCAAATTGTATATGTGTAGCATCGAACAGCTAAATGTGATGTGTAATGTCGAACAACCAACGAATATAAATAACACATTTCGATCGGCAGTCAGCATCCTTCAGTTGGGATCCGCAGAATATTATTGATAGAGATACGATATCATGACACCTAGTTCATTGAGACAACTCCGAAATCGTGCCAGCCAGTGGAGTTCATGTTGTCGAATCGGTCGCTAATAAATACATAAAAAAATAGTATAAAACAATAAATCACCAATAACAACACTCATTTTCTATCATTCGGAAGCAAATCGAGGAGTAGTAGAGAATCGAGTTGATTGAAGCATCCAAAAGAAACCGTGATCAAGATAAAAAGATAAAAAAAGAATCGGTGTGACGTGTCAAAATTGTCACGTCACATAGAGTACAGAAAAAATATAGCGGATCTGATTAGAGGTCACGCTGTCGAACTAGAATTGAAAGAAACTTGCTAGAAATTTGCTTCTCTCAATATAATTGTCGAATTTTCTATTTAAAAGGTAGATAAACCAGAATCGTAATTGGCGCATTTACCCTAGTTATTATATTTTTTTGGTATTAAATTTTAATAGTGCAATTCATATTATTTATTTATGAATGCAATGAAAAATTTTATGAGCAATCAAATTGTTCATATAATGAACGAAGAAAGTTTAGTTTTTATTTTACAATGGTTTATAACAGATCTATAAAATTCATATTTATTAATTTATGAATGCAATGAAAAATTTTATGAGGAAGCAAAGTGTTCATATAATGAACAAAGAAAGTTTAGTTTTTATTTTACAATAGTTTATAACAAAGATCTATAAAATAAAACTTTTTCTTTTCTTATTAGATGTCAGAGTGTCTTACGGATATGGGTTTTGTAGTTAACGATTTAAGCTTTAAGTTCAGCCTAATTAGAAGTCTCTATCACGTCAAGTTTAGAAGGGAAAAAATACTGAAAACCTTCAAAAACACGATTTTTTGAGTCTTTACCCTCACTTTCCTTAAAATCCTGACGTGATATGCAATTTTGGACCTCTGAATCGCGTTTAGCGCACAAAAAATAGTGGAAAGCACTCTGACATCTAACAAAAAAAAAACCTAGTTGACCTGTGTAATTTATATTATCTTCCTAAAATAATTATTTATTAGAGGCTTACGTTTCGTAATAGTAGCAATTTTACTGAATACATATCGCAACTCATCAATAGCATTACTATCGGCCCAAAAAGAACAGGCCCCTGACTTTGAAAGCTCACAACGCAGGTAAAAAAATAGTAGAGAGTTAAGACAAAGTGAAATACGTAGCTTATTTATCTAGTTGTTCGTATACAAAATTCCATAACTTAAAACAATTTTTTGTTTAAGTTATTGATTTTTAATTGAAAAAAATACATGGTTTTTTGCATGTTTTTAAGAATAGGCTACTTTGAAAGCATGTAGCTCATTTAAAAAATATCCAATCGACATACTGATTTTTTTCAGTAATATTTGTATCTTTCTTGAATATATAGTGGAGAATTTTTTTAATTTTTTAATTAACTTTCGGAGATTATTTCACTCAAAAATAAAAAGTTATTTCTCTTGCAAATAGAAGCACAGCTTTGAAATAAAATGCAAATTATGTAGAAGTTTTTCCTTAAACAGAAACAATTTGAAAAAACTTGTAAAAAAATTTTGTTTAATATTTATTTATGAAAATGTTTTTCGTTTTTTGCTTTATTACTCTATTAAAGCAAGGTGCAGTTGGACATGAAACCCTTTTGTCAACAGTAGAGAATTCTATAACAGTAGTTGACTACCGCACTTTTTTATATGAGGCTTCTATTGTTATTAGTTATTTACAACTTTGAAGACTTTTTTTTAGGGATCTAGCAGTGGTATATTAAGAAGGGCCTTTAAACACAAAATATTTTTCTTTTGCTTGTAACACTTTTAAACCAGGTAAAGAATTGTACAATGTTTATGATATTATCAAAGGTTTAAAATTCCTTAAAGTAACATGCAATGTTTACTCAACTTTCAAGTCAGACATTAAAAATTAGTAGACATTTAAAAATAACTTTAAGTTTCATTCTAGCGTTGTCTTTAGGATATCCTATATATGTCCTTTAAAAACCTTTAAAATATCCGCAAGATATGAACAGGATATCTTTAAAATATTCTGGGGATATTTCAAAGATATCTTAAAGATATTCTAGAGGTTTGCGGTTTGAATATCCTCCAGACAACTTAGAATATCCTGATTATAATTTCAGAATATCCTGACATGATGCCAAGATATCCTCGGGATATCCTTTTGTTATAAAGAAATATTCAATAATAAATAAAATTTAATGGAAATTTAATTTAAATATATTTAAAAAATAAATAATATCACATTGGTTATTTAATAATTACTAATATTATTATTTTAATTTACTTAAATACATTTATTACAAAACGTAGAAATCATGTTTTAAGAAAACAATATTTTCCATGTGCTTCATTTTGTTCTCTCTCTTTCTCCCCCTCTCTTTTTATTTCTTCCTCTTATAGCTTTATTCTCCATTTCTCTTTTTTGGATAGAAGTAGTGATCGCTTTGACTCATTATATTGACAATAAATTATGTATACCTGAAACTCTCTTGGCCGCAAGAGTACATCTCTGAAATAAACGAAAATTATTTATTTCTACTTCACTTTGATCGACTTTAATGTAACTGAATGTAAATTTTTATTAACTCATTATCAATTCAAGTTATAGATTTTATTAGTACATATTTTATTAAAATTTTTAAAAATTTACTTTGAACAAAAAATAAATTAAAAGTTAAACATTAATTTACCTTTTAACAATTCCTCTTCTGAATTATTTGAGGATGAACTTTCTTGATCATCATCACTATCATTAGCAGTGTTAATAATAAGAGATTCAATTTACGCTTCAACACATTGATCTGTTTTTCTTGATTTCTCTTCTTCCGCTTCAGCATGTCTAACACAATTCGACCATAGTAATGGTGTTACATGATCCAAGGCCTCTAAACATAAATTGTGACGCGATCTGAAGAAAGGGACCTTAGAAGCAAAAAATTATAGGTTATGTTTGCAATTTTTTAAATGAAAATACAAAAAAAGGATCAACTGTCAATAAAAATTATTTATTTTTAAGTCTTCATTAGAACTAAAATATTTAATAAACACTGATTTTAGTTTGAAAAAAGTAAAAAGAAACTTTCAATCAAGAAAAGTTTAACACTAACATAACCTTAAAGTGATTTGCTTCTAAGGTCCGTTTCTTCAGATCGCGTCACAATTATGGACATTTTGAACTTTGTGAACTTTATTATGCTTTGCAACATAATTTTTTGTAAATGCCCATACAAGTTCAATTGGGTTAAATTCACAATGAGCAACAAGCAACCATAATAATTTTATTTCACTGCCACGAATTTCTGTTTCTATTTTTTCAAGTAACTTCGTGGTGAAACATGTGTGTATTGGTTAACAGAGCGAGGAAGGTATATATCTATATATTTTTCCTTTATTTTGATTTAAAAGCCCACTGTACGGTAATATTCTGAAAACCCACGTGTTTCAAACATGAAAATTATCTGACACATACGCATTCGACAATTCTCATTCTTATATCATATGAATGATATAATAGAAAGAATGTTATTGTTGAATTTAAAAGGACATTGTTTCCCAAATTTAAAGATCCTCTAACAATGAGGCACGCGTCAAACTATATCAACTGATAAGATCTGTTTTAACAACATGTAATAATAGATTTTATGAATGAAATTATGTAATCTAAATTTCTCTTTAATTAAATATTATATTTTATTTTTGATTAAATCTGTCGCTTTGTAACCAAATTAGAGGAATCTGCTCCAATAATTATTCGGTAATTCAGCTTTTTATTCTTTTTAATTTATCCACTACTAAGTAAGATAATTTTTTTATTTTCTGTTCGTAGGATAAATACATAAAATAATAAATTAACAAATTAAAGTTAAATTATAATAATTAACACAATTTTTTTAACTATAAAGAAATCTTTTCTTATGATATAGTTTTTATATATAAATAATTTTGTAAGTTCGGTTGCTATGTTTCATATAAATTGACTCAATATTAACAAAATAAAACAAAATAAATAACAAAGTTCATTCACCTTAGAATGATTTCCTTTTCACTTATTAACGGAAATTATTTCATTTCTCCTTTATTACAAATCTATAAACAAAAATTTAAATAAAATTTAATAATAAAATTTTCTAAATCCTGCCTATAATTAGAAGGTCCAGTTTTCCCTATTCCCTAAATTAACTATTTTCTAACCAAATAAATATTCTTCATAAATATAAATTATGCAATTATTGATTTATTTAAGATATTATAAATTATAATATCGAAAAATGCTCAATATTACTTTTATTTACTTAAAGAAATCTATTTATGTCTCTGAAAAATTGACTAAATAGTTAATAGGGTAACTGTACCAATTGTCGAGGGTTTTAGGCAACATGTGACTTTGACATTTTTTTTCTCGGAAGTAAATGCACTTTAAAATTTGATTTTTGTATATTTGGACGAAGGATCTAATAATGTTTAATATTCATATTTATTTTTTTAATATAAACTAAATTGTTAAGCAAAAAATATATTTAAAAGTCAATCGAGCAAAAGCACCATTTTTCGATGGTCTTGTGCTAATTTCTCGAGGGTCTGTTCCAATTGTCGAGGGTATGACATTTTTAAACATATAACCCAATATAACCTAACAATTAACCTGTACAGATATTAGAAAATCGAGTAGATATTTATTTTTTTGATAAAAATATTATAGAACATTACCAGAAAACAAATATATTTATTTAACTATAATTGAATAATTTATTATATCGATATAAAACATTTTTATAGTAGATGATACAGGACAGAAAATTATTTAACTGTTTTTTAAACTTTTATAAATATAAGTTAATTAAATTTAATCAATTTTGTTAATCAGACATTAATTGAAAAAATAAATTAATTTAAGTCACATTAAATTTGTAAACGAATAAAATAAACTTTAATTACAAACTGTAAATATAATGGTTAATTATAATTAAACTATAGTACAAAATTTTTTAGTTTTGAATTTTGCATTTTTTTATTAATTTTTTTTCGGTCTGTTATTTTTGTAAGAATGTAAGGATAATTATTTTTCTAATATTTCCATACACTAAAAAAATATGTTTAAATGTCCCACTTCAATAAGTGTTTAGTGTGAAACCTTCTTGAACATTTCAATAACATTTTCGCTTATTTAGATTTTGATAAAAATTTCTCAGTGCAAGTGTTATATTATAATTATATTGGGCGTTCCACGCCAAATCGGAAATTATTTTGCTTTTGCATCTCAAATTTTCTTCAAATATTTTTTTTCTTTTAGTGCTCGTTGAAATGAGCTAATATGATTTTTTCAAATTTTTTCATCAAGCGGATTAAGAGATGCAGGTTTTTGAAAAGTCACGAATTGTTCATCATATTTTTTACATGAAAATAAATAAAATATTTCAGCTTTACTTTAACATAATTTTCATTAAAATCTAATAAAACGTGTTTCGCGATATTAAAAAGTTTATTTTTCCAACTTAAGAAAACTTTCTGGTCAACGAAAACTTAAACGCGTAACTAAACCGATTTTATAAAAATCAAAAACTATTGGATTGTTTATTTAGAAAAATAGGCAAGAAACCTTTAAAATTTCACATTTTTACAACCCGTTATTTTCTACGGGTATATTGACCTAAAAATCCCATTTGAATTTTTAATTTATATATATAAAATAAAATAATATATACCCAGAAACTGTCTCCTCGCATAAAAGGTATTGTTTGAAAATTTCCTAATTTGACTGGTTATTTTTCGTAAATATAAAATATTATACATAACTAATAATAGAAAAATTTAATTATTGTTTAATAATAAGTTGATTTTAGTAGATGTAACTTACTCTCAAGAAAGCAATTCGATGCCCGATCCTTGGAGGATAGTTTGAAATTGGGCCCCGAACTTCTTTTAAATAAAAAAATACTTCAATGTAAAATTTCTTCTTAACTCAAATCAATTCGGACCGCCTCTATCCCTGTGTTTCTGCAAGAACAAAATATAAGTAGAAAAGTTGTAAAAACAAAAAAGTAGTATACTATATTTTAGAATATTTACTTTTCACTTCGTTCATCCCGAATTTTACAATTTGAGAGCCACGATTTTATGAAGCCGTCTCTTGAAAGATCTGTCTCTCCTATTAGAATCTCTTCGGAAGCAGCTATAAAAGTAAAAAATGTACTAAATAAAATAAAAATTTTCATTTTATAAATATTGTAAATTGCATTATTCTCATACATCACTAAGGGAAGTGTTCCGGTTGTGGGCACCCTTTTGTTTTTGCCTCATAACATTTGTCCATGTGCATATTATACAAATATATGTGTACGAATTTAAAGCTAGAGGTCTAAGGTGACTGTCAGTGAAGAAATTAAATTGATTCCTTTAAATAAAAAAGTTTTATTAGAAATTTAGTGAAATGGGAATTTTTTGACAAAAAAAATTTTGTACCCGGTTGTGGGCACCCTTGAAAAATCCGCTAAAAATGGAAAAATATTAAAGGAAACCAACACAAATAAAGAAGAAATGAAAGTTTCTTTATTTTAAGAGAATTTGCCGGGATAAAGAACAAAAATGATGACACGTTTTCACACTATGCTCATCGCTAACAAAAGCATAATGCTTGCATGTGAAGTAGCTAGTACGTATAACATAACGCACTTCGAATGCACTGAACGACTATATTCATCGCATTTAATGGAGTTTGCGGCTGTCACTTTCCTTGGCAGAAAGTTTAGATAGATGAGACAGTAGTCCTCATCATTGTCAGATGGTAGAGCCTCCTTAACATAAAGGTGCCCACAACCGGGAATGACAGTCATTTTTTAAAAAGACCAACACATTTTGTGATGCAGGATTTTGGTTAAACACGAAGGTAAATCACAAAATATAATGACAACACTGCAAAAAAAAAATTAAACCCTTTTTTTCTGAACGAATCTACACCCATATGTTCTCTTCGAAAACAATACAAAATTACTTTTTTATTTATTTAATGCAAATTTTCTTTATTATGCTCACAGCTATTACACAAATGCATATATTTGTTTCGTTATCAATACGAAAAGTCCGTATTGTCAACGAATACGACTTGCAATACTTAGATCAGTAAAGCCTGCTTGCCGTCGAAGTTTACGTAGGGGTGCCCACAACCGGCGCACTTCCCCTATATAATTCAATAACGAAGTGCAATTAAAAATCAGGTTTTTCAACATTTCTAATATTTGATGTTGGTACACTGAGAAAACAATATATTTGAATCAAACATGATTATCTTTGATAACAATAAGCTACAATTTTGCACTTGTAGATTAATTTTTTTTAAATTAGTTTGTTATTTGATATATATTACAAATATTACTTACAGGAAACAACATTATATAGTTCTGTGTTTCTAAACACAAATTTAGTTTTATTTTTTCTACCAAAACAAAATTTACGACCCATACTAAATGTCAAAACTTTTTGTAGTAAAGCGGAAACTGTCAGACTGGCATTAATATGTTTCCCCACGTTTTTCAAGGCCGAGATCTATAAAAAGTTAAAAATTATTATTGTAATATTTTAGGTAATTTTTTAATCGTAAAGTGTAAAAACATGAAAGTTAATTTCTTATATTTATTCCTACAATATTAAGATGAAATATTAAAGGATTTTTATATAATACATTAAAAACATTACACGGCGAGATGAGTTCAGTAGGGAAAGGTATAACAGCAATGCATTTGTCATTATTTCGAGACAGGCGAGTTTTAATATTCTATTTTTAATTCTTTCAAATCAAAAAGACAAAGGGTGCATTAAATATTTAGCATTTAGATTTATGATTTGATAATTTTAAAAATACACTTATCCCATTTTTTAAAAGACACGATTGATTTTGGAAGTAAAAAACTGAATAATTTAATTAATTAAAAATATAACAAATAAATTTTGCTTTTCTTCTTCTGTTTATAAATAATTGTTAGAACATTTTATTTAACATAATTCATAAATAAACCTAAAAATTGATTTTTAAGAACTTCAATTATTTTTCTGTTTCTAAATCAAGTTGTGAGATTACCAAAAATACTGTAGTGCGATTATTGTATTATTTTCAATTCAATTGATTTACCGACTATCAAACTTTGAAAAAAAAACTGAATTTATTCGAAACTGATGATATATATATATATAAAAATTACAAAAAATGTTACTTGTGCTATTATGCCTTTCCAACACACATTTTTCCAGAGTAAAACCTAAAGTCTCTTAGTGCATTATGTACACTGGGGTTAAAAAGTTTCAGTACCTTTGTACTGATTACTTTTAAATGCTCGCTTCACTTCAAATTCAAATATTTCTGTAAAAATAGATGTTAGAACTATCAAACTAGGATCATTTTAAAGTTCAATAAATTTAGAGTCAAATAGGCTAAGATATAACCAATTTAATAGTGTAAATATTAAAAAAATAATTCTTTAAAGTTAGAGATTTTTTGTGAAAATTGCGATTTTGAAATCTGGAATTCAAGCGCACGCCAACTGAAAAAATTTTTTTTAAAGATTTGATAGTTGCACAATATCAAGTACAAATTCCATTCTTAAATTCTAGACCAAAATAATTCACATATATTAAGTATTTTTTTCAAATTCTATAAAAATAACTTCCCTTGCTCTCGAAATTTTTCAAAGAATATTAATTGCAAATTCGTCGTTTCCGTTCAGTTGTTTTATCAATTAACCACACTTTTGAAAAATATGCACCTTTTTTTATTGAAAAATAAAAAAATAGACACCTTGAATGAAAATAAGGAATAATAATAGATTTAAAATTTGTAAAATTATAAGAAGAAGGATTTTCATGTAAATAACTTAAATTTCCTAAGATGAAGAGGTTCTATATTTTTCAAAAGTGTGGTTATTTGATAGAACAAGTGAATAAAAACGACGAATTTGCAATTTATATCCTTCGAAAAATTTAGAGCAAGAGATATTATTTTTATAGAATTTTAAGGAAATACTTAATATATGTAAATGATTTATAAATTAAGTTTTACAATATTGAAGTATAAAAAGTAAAGTACATACTACTTTTCCACGAAACGTTTTATCCGTTTTAAGTTTTTCTTCAACTAGATCGAAGGTCTCTTTATCATCTATTGGGAATATTTTTAAGTCGGGGTCGTGTTTCTATTCAAAAAAGAAGCAGTTGCAGGTTGAACGTTGCTTACACCCAAAGCAGTAATATTTTGCAATTGCCGACGCATTAATTCGGTTGTTACTCCTATCCTATTTACTTTCGTTAACATTGCTTTACTGTAAGAGTCGACTGAATGTAAGAAACTCTATTTTAATATACTTAAAGTAGGTTAATTACTTAGACAAATAAATAAATAATATAATTGTGTAGATTTTCGTTTTTATAATGCGAAAGGACATAAAACCTTGATAATTTGCAGGAAATAATTTTGATTTTTCAATTCATTTATAAACTAAATATAAAAGTTACCGACGGATATTAGAAGAGGACTTTTTTCCAATTATAACATTACCATTACCTTTTTTGGAGAAATTAGTTAAGCAGGGAATGTTATACAAAGTAGTTATTCCAGGACAGTAAAAAAAGAATCTTGTTCTTATGTAAAAACACAGAAAGAATACGTACGGTTTCCAAAATCTTCTTCTTGATTTTCAAATGCCGTTTTATGGTTCCTCTTCTTTTCCATACTGCTACCGGTTGTTTCATTTAAAGCTTCCCCTATTTAAACATAAAATTGTGTGAGAAAATAGTTTCATTGTACATAAAGAATTAATGTTTTAAATTTAATTATTTGAATACAAAAATAAATAATTTATTGAATAATAGAATATTTCTTAAAATTGAATTTTCATAATAAATTTTATCAACAAATTTTTGAATAATTGAATTAATTGACGTATTTTAATGAAAATTTTAAAGAATCATTTCATTTTTTGAGAAGTTTGATAAAAAATTGTATTAAAAATAATTAAAATTCTATAATAAGTTTTATTATTTTTGAAAGTAATTGAATCTTTGCGAAGAATGTTATTTAAATTTTTTAAATAATTGAATTCTTTGAGGAAATTCTATTAAAATAGGGTCAGTCCATTATATTTCATCTGAAGCCGTTGCGGCCTATTTTTAAAAAAATCTCATAATTTGTAAAAATGATATTTAATATCCATAAAATTCATTTTTCAGAATTATTTTATAAAATATTTTGAATTTAACTTAGAATTTTAATTTTTAAATTGAGTTGGACAGAAAAAAGGTTAGATTGACAGTTATGAAAATTTAATAAAAAAGCATGGAAATAATTTAGATAATACTTTCTAGATTGATATTTGTTAAAAATGAGCTAATTTACTTGTATAAATAGATTTTTATGTAAACATACTCAAAATAATAGATAAAAATTGATTTTAAAATTTACCTATGAAATGTCGAAAGTCACTACATTTTAATTAAATTTTTCTAAAAAGTTTATAAATTTTAAAAAATTTATTACTATTTAATGTTAAGTATTTTCAATGTACTTTCATAATATGTGGTAACTTTTTAATTTTATAATATAGAAATATGAAAAATTTTACCTTTAATATTGTGTGTTTCATGTTTTTTATTGATTTTAATTACTTATTTCTTCTCAGGTGCAAGACTAAAAAATCCAATTTTTGTCTTAATATTTAAGTTTGAACTTCTTTTCCATTCTATTAAATTTTGGTGATGGAGAACGAGCTACTTTTCATTTTAAATTTAGTTTAAAAAATCTGCTGAAAAAAAGAATTTGTTGGTTAAAATGCAAGTAGATTTTTGCATGACTATTGAGATAGCCAACTTCAGTGTTATAAAATTACCTGCATTTTAACCAACAAATTCTTTTTTTCAGCAGATTTTTTAAACTAAATTTAAAATGAAGAGTAGCTCGTTCTCCATCACCAAAATTTAATAGAATGGAAAAGAAGTTCAAACTTAAATATTAAGACAAAAATTGGATTTTTTAGTCTTGCACCTGAGAAGAAATAAGTAATTAAAATCAATGACAATCATGAAACACTCAATATTAAAGGTAAAATATTTCATATTTCTATAGTATAAAATTAAAAAGTTAGCACATATTATGAAAGTACATTGAAAATACTTTACATTAAGTTGTAATAAATTTTTTAATATTTATAAACTTTTTAGAAAGATGTAATTAAAATGTAGTGACTTTGGAAATTTCATAGTAAAGTTTTAAAATTAATTTTTATCTATTATTTTGAGTATGTTTACATAAAAATCTATTTATACAAGTAAATTAGCTCATTTTTAACAAATATCAATCTAGAAATTTGTATTATCTAAATTATTTTCATGCTTTTTTATTAAATTTTCATAACTGTCAATCTAACCTTTTTTCTGTCCAACTCAATTTAAAAATTAAAATTCTAAGTTAAATTCAAAAAATTTTATAAAATAATTCTCAAAAATGAATTTTGTGGATATTAAACATCATTTTTACAAATTATGAGATTTTTTTAAAAATAGGCCGCAACAGCTTCAGGTGAAATATAATGGACTGACCCAATAGTAGATATTGAAAATCATTTAATTTAGGAAATTTTTTTAAATAATTAAATTCTTTTTTATACAGAATAATAACAATACAAATTCTATTAAAACTATTTGATGACTACCTTGATTATAACCAGGAAACATAAATTTCTTACCTGGTGCTGAATTTCCTGAAACCGTTCCAGTTGAAGGCGATTCTGCTGAAGTTGATGGCTTTTGATTTTGAAGTTGCCCTATTTAAACATAAAATTGTATAAAAAATATATATTCATTTAAATTAAGAATTAATGTTTTTAAATTTTATCGATCGATATCTTCATGTTGCATAATAATTAAAGATGCCTGAGTAAAAAATCATTATTTTACATTACAAGGATACAGTTAGTATAACTTCTTTAAAATTACTTTTATCATTCCAATTCAATTATTACTTTCTAGAATAAAAATTCTAGAAAGTAATAATTGAATTGGAAAAGAAAGAAGTTAAGTTAAATAATGTATTATATTAAAAAGTTCTTTCAGAATTTTTTAATCCGTTTGTCTATGATTCAATTTTACAAAATTCCAATCATTTGGAAATTCTTCAATTAAATATATATTAGACAATAAAAACTTCAAATAATTTTTAAAAAATTCAATTAAACTTTTACAAAAATAATAATTCTGTAGAATTCTTAATTAAAAGTATAAAAAATTCAAATTTTCAAGAACTTTAATATAATTTTTAAAAATTTACATTATAATGCTTTTAATATTCAAAATAATTTAAGAAATTTAACTAAAATACTAAAATATTATTTTTAAATAAAGTTTTATTACAAAATTCCACAATTTAATTATTTGAATATAAGAATAAATAATTTATTAAATAATAGAAATCTTTGCGAAGAATGTTATTAAAATTTTTTAAATAATTGAATTCTTTTAGAAAATTTTATGAAAATAGTAGATATTGAAAATCATTGAATTTAGGAAATTTTTTTTTAATAATTAAAATTTTATTGAAAATTTTATTAAACTTCATGAAAATAATTGGATTTCCAGGAAGAATTTTATTATTTATAAAGATAATAGTAATTTTGACGAGAATTTGAAAAAATGTTGAAATGATTGAATTATTGCAGTTTTTTGTAACATCTTTAAACTTCTTTTTTTAGTGTTATTAACTAAATCATAAGGAGACGTAAATTGGTTCACCTGCTGTTAAAGTTTCTGAATGCGTTTCGGTTGAAGATGATTCTGTTGCAGTTGATGCATTTGAATTTAAAACCGGTTGACAATTTTTAGAAAGTGATGAAGAACTGTTCCTTTCTTGCTGTTCGTCATTGGGAACTATAACAATAATAAAAGAATGTAATTGTTTACCCAATTGTAAAATACTGTTACAGTAATATTATACTGGCAATATTATAAATGCTCGATGTAATGTTACACGTTACTTGGTATTGTAAAATACTGAATAATTATATTATTAAATTTAACCTTTATTCGTTTCCCGCGATGCCAGTGGTATAAATGTTTTTTTAAAACTATATTCGCCTTCATTTTTATCGTTTGAGGATAATTTTTTACATCTCCGAGCCCTTGTCTTCTTCAGCGTTTCTTCATTTTTGGTCCCTACTGAAAATCCCTATGTAGGATCCTACATAAGATCTTACATAGAATACTAACTATAAATTTATAAAAAATCCTAGAATGATTGTAAGAATCTACGTAGAAATCCATAAAAAAGCACATATGGATTTGGCACAAGATTTTTTATGAGAATTGATATAGGAACGCGCATTCGTGTTACTGGATAAAAATATACGTTGATTCCAATATGATTACCTACATCTTTTCTGACATAATTTTGGTGTCAATTTCCTATGTCAATTTCCTTTGTCAATTTCCACCATACTTACCAATATAAAATCTTACAAAAATTCTTAGTTAAAATCTTACTTAATAATTATTAAAAATTTGTCTATATAGAATCGTAGAAAAATTCCTCCATAAAATCTTACTTAATTATTAAAAATTTACCTATATAGAATCATACCAAACTTCCTACATAGAATCTTACTTACCCTATTAAAAATACCCACATGGGATCTTACGTGGGTTCTTATACAAAAACCTGTATAAAATCCCAGATCCCACGTAAGAATCCACATGGGATCCCATGTAAAAGCACATGTATATTTGGGACACGATTTGAAACAGGAATTCATGTGGGAATTTGAGTTTGTGTATATCTACATAAAAATCCACATGAATTTCTATATGAGAATACATAAAGGATTCTATAAAGGATTTCATATGGGATTTCATATGGGTTTTCATGTTTCATATATAAGATTTCACAGAGGATTTCATAAAAGATTTAATATGTGATTACATTAGGGATCCATTGTGAGAATTTTCAAAGGATTAAAAATTATTTAATTAAAAATTAAATAATAAATTGTATTAGCATTTCAAATCATCAGGAAGAAAAAAAATTCGATAATTTGAAACACTTCTTCTGAGCTATAAACTCTCAATTATATAGTGTTAAAAAATCATGTTAACAGGGGGAGAAGTCGCTCTCGCCACCTGGCGGTGAAAGTATATGAACTTTGTTATTCTGTATCATTAATAAAAAAACCACGTGAGATCCTATGTAAGATCCCATGTGGAAAATTATATGGGAAACAATATACGATGTCACCTGGGATTTCATATAATTCTCATTCCTATGTAAAATCCTACGTAAGATCTCATATGGTTTCATATGCGGGAAATAACATAGGAAATTACATGGGATCTTACGTAGGATTTTACATAGGAATGAGAATTATATGAAATCCCAGGTGACATCGTATATTATTTCCCATATAATTTTCCACCTGGGATCTTACATAGGATCTCACGTGGTTTTTTTATTAATGATACAGAATACCACAGTTCATATACTTTCACCGCCAGGTGGCGAGAGCGACTTCTCCCCCTGTTAACATGATTTTTTAACACTATATAACTGAGAGTTTATAGCTCAGAAGAAGTGTTTCAAATTATCGAATTTTTTTTCTTCCTGATGATTTGAAATGCTAATACAATTTATTATTTAATTTTTAATTAAATAATTTTTAATCCTTTGAAAATTCTCACAATGGATCCCTAATGTAATCACATATTAAATCTTTTATGAAATCCTATGTGAAATCTTATATATGAAACATGAAACATGAATTCCTGTTTCAAATCGTGTCCCAAATATACATGTGCTTTTACATGGGATCCCATGTGGATTCTTACGTGGGATCTGGGATTTTATACAGGTTTTTGTATAAGAACCCACGTAAGATCCCATGTGGGTATTTTTAATAGGGTAAGTAAGATTCTATGTAGGAAGTTTGGTATGATTCTATATAGGTAAATTTTTAATAATTAAGTAAGATTTTATGGAGGAATTTTTCTACGATTCTATATAGACAAATTTTTAATAATTATTAAGTAAGATTTTAACTAAGAATTTTTGTAAGATTTTATATTGGTAAGTATGGTGGAAATTGACAAAGGAAATTGACATAGGAAATTGACACCAAAATTATGTCAGAAAAGATGTAGGTAATCATATTGGAATCAACGTATATTTTTATCCAGTAACACGAATGCGCGTTCCTATATCAATTCTCATAAAAAATCCTGTGCCAAATCCATATGTGCTTTTTTATGGATTTCTACGTAGATTCTTACAATCATTCTAGGATTTTTTATAAATTTATAGTTAGTATTCTATGTAAGATCTTATGTAGGATCCTACATAGGGATTTTCAGTAGGGTTGTCATCCGTACTAACATCAGTAATATTTAAATAGTATTCAATTTTGTTTTCTGCATCCTCTAAGGTGTCTGAAAATAGACAAATAATAAAAAATCTTCATTTCTTAAAATACCTTAATATCAATCAGTGTTACTATAACATAAAGAACATTCTGATTCAATGAATTCAATTAAGCTTTTTCAGAAAAATTAATTCTAAAGAATTTTTTCTTAAAAATATGAAAAATTTAAATTTTCAGAATTTGAGGTTTCATTTTTATTGTGAAGTTAATACAAAAATGTGTAAGAAGAATTTTATTAAAATTTTTATTTTTAAATAATTTTAATTCTTTTGAAAAAAGTTATTCAAATAGTAAATATTGGAAATCATTAAATTTAGAAAAATTTTTGTCCCTCTTGGTGAAATTTTTTGACTTTGATAATTAATTTAAAAAAATCCAGATTGAAAATGAAAAAAAGGGCGATTTAGGGAAAAATAATATTTAATAGAGAATATTCAACAAAGTTCTTATTCAACAAGTTTTCTTATGACGATTAGATGTTTCTATGGGCGTGAATATCAATCCGCGTTTTCCAAAACATAGCAAACTGACAGCTCAATATGGGAGGTTAGCCATGGCCGACTATATCAGGTTGCACCGTTTGCGTAGTACAGTAGAAATGAACGTGAGGAACAAAAATATTAAATGTCAATTATACTCTCATTGTTTACTATTACATTTATTATTTGTTTATTTATTTATTATTGTTATTATATCTATTATTTATTATTTTACTTACTTTTTTAAAATATTATTATGGAAAAGTATTAAAACAATAAAGGAAAATTTTTTATGAAAAAATTATTAAACAAATAAAATTTCTAAACAAAAAAAAGTAAATAATAAAAGATTATGAAATGTATAATTTTAAAAATTTTTTATTGTTATTTTTATTATTGATATTTTTAAGTATATGAAAAATCTAATTTAAATATTTCAGAAAATTAGTTTTAAAGTAATTTTTTATAAGGAATTCAACGGTCATAAAATAAAAGCGGACAGAAAATATTTTGACCCTTTTTCAATTTTCATTTTTCTTAAAAATTGGTGGATGTCGAAACACACGCGTAATTTGGTAAAAAATATGTTTTTAAATCCATGAAAAGAATTCCAAATGAAATCGATGATTTTCATAATTACCTATAGAAGTATTGTTTTGAAAAAAATCTTTGTTTTTAAACTGAAAATTCTAAAAATAACATTGTTATTCAATTTTTCTATATGGAAAATTATTTGTTTACTTATTTAATTTCTGATCAAAATTTAATCTTAATTTTTCTGTATTTCTATTTTTCATCAATAAAAATTATGATATGAAATTATTTAGAAAAATAAATGTCAAAAAATGCCCTTTTTTAATAAAAAAAAGCTGCAATGTATTGAAAAAAGACGAAAATTTAATAATCTACTTCAAAAATTGTTAGAAAAAAATTGCAAACATCAACGTCGTTTTCTCAAGACAAAAATGGTTTTCATAATTGGAAATAAATTCTGAGTACCTCCGTGTTTCAGAAAAAGGACTTTTTTCATAAAAAAGATCCAATTTTATGACAAAAATTATGTTTAATAATATTTTCATAAAAAATTTACATTACTTTGTTTTATACTTTTCCATTATAATATTTCTAAAAAGTAAGAATAATAATAAATAATAATAGATAAATAAACAAATAAATATAATTATTTATATAATATTAAATAATAAAAGTATACATAATTAAACATATCATAATTTTTATTGATGAAAAATAGAAATACAGAAAAATTAAGATTAAATTTTGATCAGAAATTAAATAAGTAAACAAATAATTTTCCATATAGAAAAATTGAATAACAATGTTATTTTTAGAATTTTCAGTTTAAAAACAAAGATTTTTTTCAAAACAATACTTCTATAGGTAATTATAAAAATCATCGATTTCATTTGGAATTCTTTTCATGGATTTAAAAACATATTTTCTACCAAATTACGCGTGTGTTTCGTTACAAAAAGTAAGTAAAATAATAAATAATAGATATAATAACAATAATAAATAAATAAACAAATAATAAATGTAATAGTAAACAATGAGAGTATAATTGACATTTAAAATTTTTGTTCCTCACGTTCATTTCTACTGTACTACGCAAACGGTGCAACCTGATATAGTCGGCCATGGCTAACCTCCCATATTGAGCTGTCAGTTTGCTATGTTTTGGAAAACGCGGATTGATATTCACGCCCATAGAAACATCTAATCGTCATAAGAAAACTTGTTGAATATTCTCTATTAAATATTATTTTCCCCTAAATCGCCCTTTTTTTCATTTTCAATCTGGATTTTTTTAAATTAATTATCAAAGTCAAAAAATTTCACCAAGAGGGACGAAAAGAGGGGAAAAGTGTGGAAGTTGAGGAGAAATCGCTCGCTACGCCTATGCGTACTTTTAAATATTTCCCACCGTGCAGCGTCCTTAAAAGGATAAAAAGAGGAAAAATGAGAGTTTTTCGTAAAAAAGGAGACTAACTGTGATCCCTGAAATTAAAAGTAAAAAATGTGATGTATGTAATTTAAATGTAAAGAATATACACACCAGTGAAACGGAAAAATTTTTTTATTGTCCACAGCTCTCCGTTATCAGTCCAAGTATTATCTGGCGTTGGGTTATTCTTCAAAATATCTCGAAAGTAATTTGAATTGGTTGTTTGAGGGAAGTATGTATCCGTCAAAACATTTTCATGGTTAAAGAAACCCCACTTAGTGCGTATAATTTCAACAGCATCATCGTCTCCATCAAATTGAACAATTGCGAAAACATTTTTGCTTGGATTCATGACTGAAACATATTTTTTAGATGAAAACATTCATCCATTTTAGAAAATTTTAATGGAATCTACACATCCTGTTTTGTTATTAATTAATAAACGACACACAAAATATTAAAACTATTTAGATAAATTAAAAACATTTAACATTTTACCAGAAATAAAGTATTTAAAACTAATTTTTAATTAATTTACCATAATCTAAAATAAAAGAAAAGCAATTAAAATTAAATATTTACTTATTTACGAATTAATTTTTTTTTTAATAAAAAGAATAATTTTTGTAAAAAACACACATTAAAGGAAATAAAAAATGTCGTTTATTTAATGGTTAGAAACTAGAGATAAAATAAATACAATGGAAAATTTTAGAAAATAAATATTACCTGTTACTGCTTATGTGAATTTTAAGATTTCAGTCAGCCACACTTTTTTTAACAATTAATATTATATTAATATTATTATCACCTTTATTCATGTAATATAATACAGCACTAACCGGTCAAACTACAGAACAGATAACGTTTTTCCTTGCACGCCGGCACGATAGGCACGCGTTGTCTGGTAAAATTTAATCTTTTGCGCAACTCCGTGACGCAGCTTTCGAACTCGTCATTTTCAATATGTACTGGATATGAAATTTGCATTATAAATATCTGTTTTTTTACTTTACACATACATTTATTATTTAATTAAATACCTACTTTAAATAAAGAAATGTAGAACGAAAATTCCCAATACATAAAAATTTTGTGTTTTTGTTTGTAAACGAATTTACAATCTCATATTACATCGTGCTATTATTCATACTACGGAAGTCACGTGATTCTCTTACGCTTATGTGTTACCATGACAACTAAGGTAATCAGGAAGTGTCGAACTAAGAGAGAACCTTAACACTTTATTTCCTGTATTGTATTTGTCTGATTTGCTGTATAAATTCTCTCGTTGTAATTCACTCGTCTTATTTAAGCTTATAATCTCTTTATTTCTTGTCATTTAGGAAGTGCATCGACTTTATTAAACAATTTTAAGTGTTCAAGACAATTAAATGTTTTCAGTGATAAGTGTATTTTCTGAATGTAATGCATTTTTAATTGTGACATGAAATCATAACCTATAAACTTGATCTTTTAATATCTTTATATTAAATTATATATTAAATTGTTTACGTGATGAAGACATTGGATGTTTTTATTGACAAGAATTATTTTCTGAACTGAATGTGTTTTTAATTGACGGATGGAAACATAACCTCTAAATACAAACATTTAATCTATATTTATATTCGTTTAAAATGTGCATTGACTATATTAAATTGTTTAAAGTGTTCAAGAGAATAAATAATTTTATTTATAAGTGTTAAATTCTAAAGAAAATATACTTTTAATTGTCACATTGAAAAATAACCTCGAAATGCAACTATTATTATTCGTCGAGATCGTCGAGATTTATTGAACAAGAACATTGATTACAAGAACAATTTTATGTCCTCAGACCCTAAAGTAAGTAATAAAATATTTTTATCGAATTTGTATTTTTATAATATTTACATATATAATAAATATTTTATTGATGATATATTAAAAGCACTTAAATGTTTAAATGTAACTTTTTACTGTGATTTTCTTTAATTTTAATATTTTTATGATAATTAAATCTACACAGATGACCCTTTGTTTAATTTCTAAGAAGGTTAGGAGTTATATTAAAATTTAATTAATATTTTTTTATATTTAATATAGATAAGTCCGGAGGAGATGGCCATAGTTTCTGTAAAGGATTGTAAAAATTTTAAAAAGGCGATTTTTGTCTTTTATTGATAATTAATCATTGAACGCTTAACTTTAAAATGACAAAAAATAAAATATTTTAATACAAAAATTTTTTAAATTTACATTTTTTTAAAATTGCACTTGGCTAATACTTGTAATTCTTGACTTTCAGCTTCAACTTAATTTTTAATCGTTTACATTGTTTATCTCTTCTTTTGGTCATCTATTACGGAATTCAGAGTAGTTTTCATGCAGCCAAAAATGACAAATACTGCACTTAATCATATCTTCAATTAATGCCGTTTGATGGTAACTTTCACCACAATCTAAAAATATATATCACAACCTCGTTAAGTAAATTAGATCAATTATTTTGTTATCAAAAATTAAAAAAAAAAATTTTTTGAGCATGTGGAATTTACAGAATTTCCAGGCTTCGCACTCTTCTACTAAAAGCTACTATTTGCTACTTTTTTGATATGAGGCTACTTTTTGGCTACTTTTTTGAGCCTAATGCTACTAAAAGCTACTTTTTTGAACAAATAGTCAAATTTAAATTTTTAGTTTTCACATTTCCATTTAAAAACGGTGTTAAAAACTAAAATCTTTAATAAAAACGACCGTCAATAAGATATTAGGAAATAATTTTACCAACATTTACTCTATCAATAGTGACTGATTATAAATTGTGTTTAGATTTTCTTGCAAATGATAACCTTTAAATTCCCTGTTTTTCCCGGCGTTGTCCTAATTTTTCCCGGTTTTATTTTCTCATCAAATTTATATTTATTTGATTTCAAACATAAATAAATCTACAAATGGTTTCAACAATTTGTAATAGATTTTTTATGAATAGTTTTCAATTAAAAAAAAAATCTTGTCTGTTCATAATTATAATTGAAAATTTGATTAATTCAGTTTCATTAAAATTTTTGAAAATAATTGAATTGTAGAGAACAATTTAATTATTTATAAAGATAATAAATAATTATGTTATAATATATTATGTTATTATGTAATAATTATGTTTAAAAATTTTTTGAAATTCTCCTCGAAATTTCAAACATAATTAAATTTTTGCGGAGAATTTTATTACTTTTGAAAATAATTGAATTGTTTTTTTCGAATTTTATGGAAATTTATGAAAGTAATTGAATTCTTGTGAAAAATATTTTTCAAAAACAATATTTAAAAGAATCTAGTAAATCTGAAAAATTTTACTATTTATGAAAATAATTGAAATAATTGAATTCTTTCGACAAATTTTAATCAAATTTTTAAAAATAATTGCATTTTTCGACGAATTTGATTAAAATTGTATTATAAATATTATTCTATTTCTGCAATGAGTTTTATTATTTATAAAAGTAATTGAATTATTGCAAGGATTTTATAAAAAAGTTTAAAATAATTGATTTTTTTAAAAAAATCTAGATAAACTCTATTTTTAATAATTCAATTTCTATGAAATTTTCATTCTTTTAGAAAATAATTGAATATTCGTGTAGAATTTTGTCAAAATTGTTTTTAAGTAATTGAATTCTATTTGGAAATTTTATTAAAATTGATTTTCAAATTAAAATTAAAATATTGAATGAAGAAAAATTTTTGAAATTAATTGAATTCTTGTGGTGAATATAAATGAATTCTTGCTATTTATAGAAATAATTGAACTTTTACAATGAATTTTATTAAAATTCCTGAAAGCAATTTAGTTTTGTCGAAGTTTTAATATTTATGAAAATGACTAACTTCCCTTGATTATTTTCGAAAAATTTAAATAAAATTCTTTAAAAGAAGTAAATTATTTGAAATAGAATGTAAAGAAATTCCAATTTCATCAAAAATTTTCCACTATTTGTTTATAATAATTTAATTATTTTGAAAAAACAGAATTAAAAAATCTTATTTTTCAAAATTTTCAAAAAAAACTTTGCGAAAATTCAATTTTATTAAAAAATTTGAAGTGTCTATCGTTTTTTAAATTAACTAATAAAAATTTTAATTATTAATCTTCGCACTTAGAAACATGAGTACATTAGAATGCAACTCCTTGTAAAATTTAATTATTTATTAATTATTAAATTAAAATACTTTGGAAATTCGATTTTTTAAAAAGTTTTTAATTAAATTCTTTAATTCTTTTTTTTGTCACCGAAGCTACTATTTCCTTTTTTTTGTCATTGAGGCTACTATTTCCTACTTTTTTTGTCGTCGTGGCTACTATTTCCTACTTTTTTTTAAGCTTATAGTGGAGTGCGAAGCCTGAATGTACTACTCAAATAAACATGAAATTAAAAATGCTCTTAAAAACGCCAATATAACAATAAGAAATCTACATTTATCACATTTTTATAAAGCCATTTAAAAAATGAAAGATTCTTTAAAATCTTTGAATATTGGCCATCTCCCCCGAGTTTACCGCACTATATTAATATTGGCATAAATTATTTTAAAGTTTTGAATTTTTTATATTAAATTTTCGCTTTGTCTCTTTCTCTCCCAAATTTAAAATACTTTTATTATCTATAATATTTATTTTCTTCTTATAAAAATGAAAATTTTCTAAACAACTGAGATGAATTAAATTTTTTTGAAAATAATTGAATTTTTAAAAATAATTTTTCAAAAATACTTACAAATGTTCAATTTAAAAGAATTTCAATTACAAATTTAAATATATATACAAACAATTTAAATGGTAATTTATTTCATTATTTTATTATTGTTTACTTAAATTTTTTGAAATTTTAATTTTAATATTTTTTTTTATAATTTAGTATTTTAGATATGTAAAGGTATTCTTTTGTTTCGTTGTAAAAAACTTTTATTTTTAAGCTAAAATGAGTATTTTAAAATGTATTATTTACAAAAAATTATTAACTTTTTCAATTCGTGACGCATTACATTGCAATAAAATTTTTAAATGGAGAACAAATGAATAAATTTCGTTTATAAAACTTTCACAACATTAGAAACATGTCAAACTTATTTTTTCTAGGTTGCTTGATGTAAATTTTCTAAAGGATTCTGTTATATGTGTAAATTTTATATACTAATAAGGCACGTGTTAATGTATTTTGAGTTTAAAATAAATTGGTGATTCTTGGCATAGCGAACAATTTGGATTTAATTATTATTTCTGACCATTTTTTTTAAATTAAGAAAAAGTCTATTTATTATGCACCATAGATAAAGTGTTTTCGACAAAATTCTGCCAACAACACGAATTTCAACCGATTTCATTTTTCTTTTTTTTAAATACTAAGGAAAGTTTTTCCTACAAGCCATCACGGCTTTAAACAGTGAAAGAAAATTACCTATAATATGCATTTACAGAAGAAGCTCATAAAAAATGCACTAAAGTATGATTAACATATTTTTATTTTTTTTTATATTATAAAATCTGTATTATATTCTAGTCAAAATGCTTGTTACAAAAGTTCTTGAGTATATAATGACTTTAAATATAGCAGTGAAGGCTTATAGGAAACCTTCCTTAATATTTCAAAAAAGGTACTTGAAATCCGTGAAGATTTGTCCAAGACGCTGCATTTATTCCCACTGTTACTTGTAAATCGATAAAATTATAGCAAATACTTCCTTATATATATCATACTTATATGTTCTAAATAAATGAAAAAATTAATGTCTGAATTAAATTTCAGCAACGATGGGAAAAATTACGAGAAAAAACACAAAACTATGTGGTTTTACAACACGTCGAATACGTCAAATTGTACAACAACGGACACTAGAGGATCAACAACTTTTTCAAAATCATGTTACTTCGGTAGTTGCGGAAGAAAAAAAAGATACAGGAGTATCAGAAATATCACCTATTTCATCTAACGACAGTTCATCTAATTTTAGCGTTGACGCACCATCATCAAATGTAGATGACTTAAACATCGGCATTAATTCCTCTTCACAATCAATCATACACATTAAAGACAATTCAAGCACATCATATCTTGAAAAGAAGACATTCGAAGTGGAAGCCAATTTCATTGATGATTTCATTTTAAATGAGAATTCTTCTGATAGTTCCGACACCGAATCTGAAACAACTTGTAACGAAGATGCAAGAAAATTAAATAGTAACCTAGAAGAAGATGACCTTTCTGATGATGACCTATATGCAGATCACCCGGACGAAGATGGCACTGAAGTTCTTGACTCTTCAAATAGTGATGTAGATAGTATACAGAATACTCCATTTGCAATGAAGCTACGTGACTGGGCTCTTCGATTCCATATAACTTTAATTGCGCTGTCTGCGTTATAACTATTGCTCAGACTTTTTGATAACACATTACCTCTTGATGCACGAACCCTATTAAGCACGCCAAAAAAAATAGAAACTGTTGAGATGTGTGGTGGATTAATAAGAGCCGTAGAAAATATAATTTGTGAAAGAAGACGTAATAGTAATCCAGATGAAAACATTAAATTGTTAATAAATGTGGATGGTCTGCCTATTTCGAAAAGCGGAACTAACAGTCTGTTGTTGATTTTGGGTTCTGATACAAAGTCTGAGACTGTTTATCCTATTGGCGCTTTTTATGGATTAAAAAAGCCCGTTGATGCAAATTACTTTCTACATGAATTTGTTGAGGAAGCAATAATTATTTGTCAGAATGGAGTAAAAAATAAATCCGTTACATTAGAAGCTGTCATTTGTGATGCAAAAAAGCTTATTAATCTATGGCTAAACGGACCTTCAAATGTGAAACTTCCCTCTGATGTGGTTCAGAAGATATCAGATCGATTAATATTATTGCGGAATTCAGTCCCTGATGAATTTAATCGAAGACCAAGAACACTCTGGGAATTTAAATTCTGGAAGGCGACAGAATTCCGCACATTCCTGTTATATGCGGGAATTATCGTTCTCAAAAATCTTCCAGGATTCCCACCTAAGTTCTATTGTCATTTTTTATTACTGCATACAGCAGTTTCGATCCTAGTAAGTGAGAGGCATATTTATAACCCCAGCAACATCGAAGTAGCTCATGAAATGTTAGAACTTTTCGTAAAGGACTTTGAACAACTTTATGGAAAAGAACACATTTCGTATAACGTGCATAATCTTTTACATATATGTGAAGACGTAAAGCGATTTGGGACATTAGGGAATTTCAGCGCCTTCCGATTCGAAAACTATATGTCTTCTGTGAAGAGAATGTTGAGAAAAGGTGATAAGCCGTTGCAGCAAATAGCTAAACGATACGCAGAAGTTGAAAAAAGCAAAAAAAACTGCTGTTCAATTAATAAAGTGACATTACAACAACCTCATCACATGGGACCATTAACAGAAAAGTATTCATCAAATATTCGTGAGCAGTATAAAATTTTGAAAAGTAAAGGGTTATTTATAAACTGCGATGTCGTTAAAAATAGTTGTGTTCTGCTCGAGGATAGAACGTTCCTTATCACTGAGAATATTATCAAACGTGATACAGAAGATATTTGGTTGGTAGGATACAAGCTTCCTTTCAAAAACAATTTATACAGTTTTCCTGATTCGAGTCTCATAGACATTTACATTGCAAATGCTGGTAATAATAATCAAAGATTTTGCGTACTACTGAAAAATGTTTTATCTAAAGTGTGGAGAATTCCAACTTCGGAAGGAGAAGTGCTTATACCATTATTGCATTCAAGGGAAGAAATATAAATAATCTGTTCAAGAAAATTTCTTTATTGAGTAATCTCCATGGATTTATTAGACTATTTAATTCAATGATCAAGATACATCGAAATATGGCAGCTGAATTAACAAGTTAACAATGAAACAATGAAACCAATGGAAGTAAAGTACATTAGTACTGTTAGGCTGCTAACAATTATCAATGAAAACAACACTATGGACCCAAATTAAGAGGTAATAATAAAAATTTTTATTAAATTGATTTTTTTATTAAAATTGTCTATAATAATGTATTTATTTCATAACATTTATAATTACAAAAATTCAACATCCAATGTGTAACTTAAAATGTATATAAAAGATACTTTTATTGATTTATATTTGACTCTATTTTAATTTATAAAAATTTCCAAGTAGAAAAATTTGAAAGTATAAAACTTGTAATTTTTTAGATTTTTTTAAAGTATACATTTTAAGGAAATAAAAATTTTACTCAAAGGAAATTTTGAGTACATAGAGTAGGGTTACCATAGTTTAGTAAAAGTAGTCAAATTTAATTGAATTTTAATTATCTTTATAAATAATAAATTGCTCCATAAATCATTTACTTTAAAAAGTTTCAATAAAATTTTAACAAAATTCAATTATTTGAAATAAATTCAGGGTGTCTGTTAACCAGGAGAATCGGGAAAAACCTTGAATAAGCCAGGAATTTTTTGCCAGCCGTGAATTTTTTCACGAAATTAAAAAAAGTTTATTTATTTTAATTTTATTTTAAAAAATTGCTTTTTATTTCATTTTTTATAGATATTTATACTCTTTTCTACATTTGAATTAGTTAAAAATAATTAATTTGATAGTAAAAAATCAGTCACTGATTTAATTCTAGTATGTAAATAAGTTTTGTTAAAAATATCGAATTAATAGAAATTTCATGAAATTCAACTGAAAATAATTAAAGTTAAAGAATTTCATTACAAACTTTTTTAACAAATAGAATTTTAAGTATTTTAATTTAATAATTGATAAATAATTGAATTTTATAAAGAATTACAGTCTAATGTATTCACGTTTCTTATTGCAAAGATTAATAATTAAAATTTTTATTAGTTAATTTAAAAAAGATTCACACTTAAAACTTGTTAATAAAATTGAATTTTTGCAAAGTTTTTTTTTAAAATTCTTAAAAATTAAGATTTTTAAAATTTTTCGATTCTATTGTTTCCAGATAATTTAATTTTTATAAACAAATAATTGAAAATTTTTGAAATAGTTGGAATTTCTTCACATTCTATTAAAAATAATTGAATTAGTTTAAAGAATTTTATTTAAATTTTTCGAAAAAAATCAAGGGAAGTTAGTGGCCGTAATTATAATTTTATTTTGAAAACATAAGACACTCTTAGAGTTTTAAATCAATTTTTTGCTTCTAAAAATTATATTCTTATATTATTATTCAATAATTATAATTATTGAACTTCTCTTAAATTTTTATAGTATAAATGTTCAAATAGATAATATTAATTTCTTTCTTGAGCAAATTCAATTTTCAATACTTATTGTTAGTAAATAATTAATTATTACTGTTTATTATTTTCAACAATTGTAATAAAATTCTTCGAAATAATTGAATTATTGTCATAAATAATAACATTCTTTGGAAGGATTTAATTACATAAATAAGTATAAAAGAAATTTTTTTAGAGTATTTAATCAATTTTTGAGTGAATAGTAATATTCTTCAGGGTCAGGGAAAAATTCAAAATTTTGTCTGAAAATTTGGAGAAAGCAAAATTAAATTTTAGTGGCAACCCTAATAAATGTTTATAAAAAAGAAATAAAATTTATAAAAGGAATTATAATTTTCAAGATTTGTCAATTATTAGAATTTTTATGTCGCAGCAATTCTATATTATTACATTTTTATGTAATGTAAAATATTTATTTGGAAATTTTTATATTAATTTTAAAGTTGCATATTAACTTTAAGTTTTCAGTCTGTATCAGTAAGTTAATTAAAAATTTTATAAATATGTGTTACAGAAATTATGAAACTTTTCTCCAAAATTCTTGAGAGGGTAGTGCTGGAATAACTTACTTGAAAATTGACAGCTACAGATATAACTTGACAAGAGAGTGGACATCGAGGCGTGTTTCAATTTGTTTTGGTGATTGCAGTTACAATTAAATTATCTCATAATATATATCTAAATCATATTATTATGATGGATAATGAAGTAAGAATCATGAAAGGACGAGTCAATGCGATTTATTCATGTTTAAATTGAAGTACCAATCATTTTAGTTGATTTACTTTGAATATTCGATGGTAGTTTATTTATTTTGTGTCAACTTCTCATATCTATCTATATTCAAATTTACTTTTCCAGTAATATTTTACAACATGAATGATCGGAATCTTATTTTAAGACACTTCCTTCTTTGTATTCTACATCACAAGCTGATATGTAAACTTTTAGCTTTCCCAAACCAACTTGTCAATTCGTAAGTGTACAAAACTTATAAGGTAATTTTTGGATTTCACAATCATTAAAAAATATCTATATAAATAATTGATATGAAAATAAAAATTTTGTCAAACATTACAACAAATTTAAACACAATTTAGGTATCTTAAATTCTGAAATACTTTTAAAATGTATTAATAGTTTAAAATAGTTTTCATGTACTTTTAGAATTTTCACTACTTACTCGAGAACGTTTTTCTAAAAAATTATTAAAAAAAAATAAAATAAATGGAAGTCTCAATTTTATATACATAGAAATACTTCGTTATATCAAAATTTCTTATCCTTCAGTTTTAAGTATTTTAAGTAAAAGTAAAACTTTTTATAAGTTTAAATAAAAGCAGTAAAAATAATTTTTCGCATTTATTTTCCTGTTTATAATATTCCGCTACCATATATGATTAATTTTTTTAATAATATTCTGTTATACAATCTTATTACGATATTTTTATAATATGCTGTTTCGATTACCGTAACCTTTAGTTGTAAGCTTACCGTAACATTTAGGTGTAAGCTTATCATAACCTTTAGGTGTAAGCTTACTGTAACCTTTAGGTGTAAGCTTACTGTGACCTTTGGGTGTATACTTACTGTAACCTTTAGGTGTAAGCTTACTATGACCTTTAGGTGTAAGCTTACTGTAACCTTTAGGTGTAAGCTTACTATGACCTTTGGGTGTATGCTTACTGTGACCTTTAGGTGTAAGCTTACTATGACCTTTAGGTGTGAGCTTACTATGACCTTTAGGTGTAAGCTTACTGTAATGGCGGAAATTTCTAGCCTACCTTATGTTTACAACAGGTATACTGAGTAACGTTACAAGCCTTACCAATAACCCTTACCACAAACTTACAGTACGATATCGTGCTATGTGGGTGGTGATTGATCTAGTACAATAACTGATTTTGATGGTAGAACTGTTAACACATGTCGGAACCATTCTTCATAGTGTTTCGCGTTCATTTCACCGTGATAATCATTATTTCCTTTTTTCCGATAAAACAGTTTGAACATCCGGGTACAAAACCATTTTTTCCACCGATATGTAGAATAATAACTCGCAGTCCTAATCCAGATGGCGTTATAAATCCTCCCCGTTGACCGAAAACTTCTTGTACATTATTGCGATAATAATCAAAATTACTATTTTCACTTGAAACTTAATTTTCAACCCAACCATACTTTCTTGTGTGATTTGCTCCGCACCATGTTTCATCAGTATAAAAGATATTGTGACCATTATTGCAATAAAAAATATTACGAAGAAAATTGTCCTTTGCGCTGCTATTGCACTACTTTCCATCCATACTGGTTTTCTTTTTAGCTTAACATAAGAAAAGTTTAAATTTTTCATACAATTTCGTAATGTTGATAATTTAAAATTTGGAAAATCAGGTACGTCATTTATTAATTCTTCATACAAAGCTTTTGTAGTCGGAAATTCTCTCCGCATGTAAAAGTTATGAATTTTTCTTCTAATTACTCCTTTTAAGAAATCATTACATTCAATTGGTGGCCTCCCGCTTTTTAGTGCTATATCAAATTTTCCTTTATTTAACCACTCCGATGTTATTCGTTTTATACTTCTTTCAGAAATTTGTAAACAGTCTGCAGTACGTTGAACAACTTTCGATTTGTCATTGACTTCAAATCGTTTTTCCTTTTCAAAATATTGCCTTGCACGAAGAATTAATTTTTTTTCTTCTTCTTAAAATAGTGGTAAATTTTCTCAGTTGGTTTAATATTTAATTCACATTTTGAAAGCTCGTTTGTTATTATTAAATCGTCACTGCCACTGGACAATTCTGAATTGTATAAAGAAGTCATTAAAACATTTTCATCTCTCAGAAAATATGTTTCATTTGACAGCATTCTACTTAAATCTTGTAAAATTGGTTCTTGGATTGTCAAGTCTTGAAAATTAGTATTGTTAGGTGAATCTCCATTTGTTTGACTAATATTTATGCTACCTAAAATTTGTCTGTCAAAATAAGCATCATTTAAAATATTTCCATTTAATATATATATTTCCATAACGTCTGATGTATCATTATTAAAAAGCGTTAAAAGCTGAAAATGTCCATCGCAATCTTGTATTTCATACTGCCCTGTAAATAATAGATACAATTTTTCATTTGTAGTATTATGGTCAAATGAAAGGATATACAAAGTTTCGTCTTGGTTCATACGTATCACTTTAATATTAATTTTCAAAAAATTTGCAGCAGCTCGGCACTCTAACATAGACAATGCATCAATCACTATAAATTCACAGTTTTCAATTGTTATTTGGTTAGCCATACTAACTTTTTAAAATGATTATTAAAAGAAAAAAAATGTTTGCGAAAAAGTGAAATTTAACACTGCCTACTATCACTACACTCTGAATTTCATAAACTAAGTCTCACTTTCGGTAGTTTGGAACTAACTAAACTGAAATTTTTAAGTGGCCAAAAACGTATTGCAGTAAGCAATTTTGGACCACAGAAAGATCATTAAAAACAAATTTTTATAAGACAATTTGTATTGAAACTAACAGAAGTATTATAAAAACCAAGGCATCGAAATTATATGGCCAACTGTAAAAGGCTTTCATACTTTGTATACATCTCATTAAAGGCAATTACGACAAAGCACATTTTTGATATAATAACGTTCAAAGCAGGAAATCTATAAAAAAAATTAATATTAATACCTTGTAAATGTTTATAACTTATTTGAAATTTTCAATTTTGTAATTAATAGATTAAACAGTACGAATTTATCTACTTATACAGTAGAAAAAGCTTTATGTCAGCTATAGCCTATTAGTGAAAGATAGACAGACTTATGCGATTCCCATACTTTCTAATGACTGAAATCAAGTTTTTCTTACCCGCGTGGATTAGTCCATATTTAATTTAAAAGTAAAGTAATAATAATACAATTGATAAATAGGTGACTTATTTAAATATTATCAGCTTTATATTTAATTTTTAATTTAATTTCTAATACAATTAATTATTTAATTTTGAAATAAATTAAATATTCTATTAATAATTCAATTATTTTAATCTTATTCAACTTAATTATTTGAATCTGATTAACATAAATCTTTATTTTAATTTGTTTGAAACAAATAATATTATGAAATTTCATTTTACTATTATTTCTTTTTTTCTTTGTAGAAATTGAGGGTTCACATGCAATAAGAGGATACTCGCTATCTACTTAACACTGTGCGTATCCCCTTATTGCACTTTATTCTGTTTAAGGAAAAACTTCTACATAATTTGCATTTTATTTCAAAGCTGTGCTTCTATTTGCAAGATGAATAACTTTTTATTTTTGATTGAAATAATCGACAGTAGTAGTAGATTTCAGTCTGTAAAATTAAAAAATAACTATTTAAGAATAAATTGTGCTTATTTGGGTTTCTATTAAATTGAGGTAGAAAAGTAAAGTCAAAAATGTTATACACAATGAAAAGATGTTTTGAAGTATGCTTAAAAATTAATTAATTTTTTTGTATTTATTGTAAGTAAATAAAATAATTTCAAAACAAAATACTAACTTCTTTGTACTATATATTAGTTTATGCAACACGTCCCTTAATTTTACTGGAATTCCTAATGAAACGTTTTTTTTCATTCTTTTTCTTACTTGTGAATAATTTCTTGAGCTTCTCTATGTTAAAGAAGAAATAAAAAGTCATTTTAAATAATAGGATAAAAGTGAGATGAAAATTTTATCTAATAAACAACAATAAAAGCAATCACAGCTTTACGAAGAACAAGACTTAGTTAAGCAAAATCTTATACATTATATTTGTTATGTTATGTTTCATGATCTGCTAAATTCATTATTATTTCTACTCATATATGACGGGTTCCACGTCAAGTGCCCCAGGTCAAAAATTTACATGGAATATTTAAAAAATTTGTAGTTTCTTTAAAACAAAACAAAAATACGTTTTCTATTTTGGGTTTTTCTGCTGTTTTTCAACACTTTCTAATGGTGTAAACAAATGTAGAGAAAAAAAATTTTTTGACCTTGAAAAATTAAATTAAAAAATAAAATTTCATTTTTTTATCAAATGGACAGTTTTTATTTTAAAAAAAAAATTTTATCATAAAGGTGAGGTTTTTTCCTTAAAAAAATGTATAGGTCAAAACGTGGGACAAGAACTTTTAACTGGTCAAAATAAACATTTACTTCTGCAGTGCACCGACCCGCAGTGGAATTTTTTTTACAATTTACTATTAAAAAATGTCTACACCTTACAATTTTTAACCGATTTGAGTGTTCTTTGTCTTAAATTAAAGGGGAATAAATTCTTAAGACATCCTTCGAAGACAATTTTGGGGATTTTAATTATTTATAATTTTTTTTTAATCAAAGTTAACAAATTAATACACTTTTTTAAAAAAGAACGTTTATTTTCTTATTCCGTTGCTGCACATGATCTAAATCAATTCAAATTTATCCAATATGGATTGCAGAAGTAAATGTTTATTTTGACCAGTTAAAAGTTCTTGTCCCACGTTTTGACCTATACATTTTTTTAAGAAAAAAACCTCACCTTTATGATAAAATTTTTTTTTAAAAAATAAAAACTGTCCATTTGATAAAAAAATGAAATTTTATTTTTTAATTTAATTTTTCAAGGTCAAAAAATTTTTTTTCTCTACATTTGTTTACACCATTAGAAAGTGTTGAAAAACAACAGAAAAATCCAAAATAGAAAACGTATTTTCGTTTTGTTTTAAAGAAACTACAAATTTTTCAAATATTCCATGTAAGACAAAAAATTTAAACTTTGACCCCCTCTAGTTTTTATATTTGTTTAAATAAATTAATAATATTTGATATTTTTTATTGTTTCTAATAGGACTACTGTTTGTGCAAACTTTATACCTGATCACAAACATTTTTAATTTGGACCTGGGTCACTTGACGTGGAACCCGTCATATAGTGGTAAATCTATTGCGTAAATTAATACTATCATTACATTTTAAAATGATTTTCTTTTTATTGTGATTTTGTTTATCTTTTATTATTAAAGTAGAATGTTTTTGTCTTTCTACGAGCTTGATGCATTAGGGAACTTGAGCAGACAGATATATACATTTTAGAAAAAATTGACAAATTTTATGTTTTCACTTTGTACATGCTATTTACGTAACTTCCATAAATGATGTTACAGATTCTAAATCTAAGCCAGTGACAATTTTACTGATTTCAATTTAGTGGTCTAGTTTTCTTTGATGAATCAGTAAAATTTCTCGGACAATCAGTGGCTTTTACTGATTCTCAGTCAAATTCCACTGATGAATTAAAAAAAATTGGGTCACTGAATTAAAATGAGTGAAATTTCCACTGATTCAGATTAAGACTGCAGGTCTTTAATAGAATTTGTATCCCTTCTTCCCCTTGTCACAAACTCTCTTTAGCTAATCGTCTCGTTTTGGTTTTGTCAAAGCCGACTACGACGATCCAATACCGAATAATTCTCCTGCATTTTTAGATTTTAAAACAGGATCTACAATTTTTCTACATGACGCGGGTAGTGAATCATATCTTTCAGGTTGTGTTTGTGCAACAGAAACAATGTCTTCTATAATAGCTGTTAGGAGACATTGTATGTTTTGTGCAAATAACAATCCATCTTTTGATTTGTATTTATTAGCGAGTTTAATTAAATATGAGCAACCATCTAGGATTTTCGACGTAGGTAATAAAGGCAACACTAAAGCAGTACTTAAAAAATTATCTTCATCTTTTTTCTGATTATACTGAATTCCAAAATCCGTAATAATCTGTAATATAATGTGATACAACTTACTTATTTTATAAAATGTTTATATTTTTCATAGATTGCACTTGTATTATTTTTAAGATACGCTTTTCTGAGAAATAAAAAGGGATGTGTCATTGACAATAAAGTTTTCGAAAAAAAATAAATGTTATAGAAAATAAATATTGTTATACAAGTAAAAGTTGTTAAGTTAATTAATTTAGTTAATTGATTTAGAGAGATTGTTAACTTTTTCACCTTAAAACGGCGATAGACTCGAAGAGAAAAAGGGAGGAGGTGATGCCTCCTTAATTGTCTATGGGTAAGGTCTACAGGGCGTCAAACGCAAACCCTGTCAGGAAAGTACCAAGGTTAGAGCGACAATCAACAATGATTGTCAAGGTGGCAAAAGGAATTAGCTATGTTGATGTCTAGGAAAAGCTCAAAAAGGAGTTTGAACCTGATGCCATCCAAACAAATGTGGGAGTAAGACCCACAAAGAAGGGTGACCTGCTTATAAAAATAAAAGGCTTACAAGGGAAGGAGAAGTTCACCGAGGAGGTGTCAAAGATTGCTTGACCTAGATTGCTTTACCGACAACGCCGAAGTCCAGGAAGGCTTTTGAGGAGGCCAAAAAGACTCTCCCTAGAATGAGAAATAAATAGGCCAAAACAAGAGCAGCACGGAAGGATGGCGCGAGCAACAAAATGGGACCTTCATCTCACGAAGTTTGAAGCCAATAGGTAGTTCCGTGGGTTGAAAAATAGTCTAGATTAAGACGGAAGTAGTTTTTAGTGGGTCGACCAGAACAAGAGCGGTCATACCCACATAACATGTGATTCTACATCTAGGTATCTAAATTTACAGATTTTCCACTTCTGACTACAAAAAGAATATGATGATACTCTGTTATTTTTATTTATTTGTTTATACACTTGTCTTCAGCCTACATAACTTGGCTATACAAGTGTCTCTTTACAAATTTCTCTTATACAATATTTCTATATACATTCCTTACACTAAATTTTTGCGCCTACAGAACGACTTGAAAATTAGGAGTACTCGCATTTGCCTGGACAATAATCGACGGTGCACATCATTATACTTCGACGTCAAACCTCCCACTCAGATTGTCTCACGTGCCGGAAAATTACCAAGCCAAATGGGCGCGAACCAAGGGTACTTACCCTTGATCCTTAAACGACCGCCAAGCGAGGCATCTATCCGACTGAGCTAATCTGTCATACTCTGTTATTATTCTATGATTATTAATATTTTCGAAGTCTGATCGACCGCCACTGGGTGCGTAGCGTTACCGTTTTCGATAGACAAACTTCCCAAGAAGTTTAGAAAATGACAACTGGGTACGTAGATCACCTAGTGGATCACCTAGTTGAGCAATTAACTACATCTTTGATGATTGGACCAACGATCAAATTTACTTATTTCAAACCTTCTTTCTCTTTCAGATATTTTAAATCTTCTTTTATACATTTTTTTCTAACTTAAACGAAATGCTCGAGTACGCAATAAAACACTACACAAATAAACAAAAATGTTGCATTTGTACAATTAACATTACAATATTTTTTCTCACTATTTTCGTAGCATTGGAATTTAACTGTGACGACTCGATTCTTGCTTCGCGTGGATGCGAATGGGAGAGAAAACAGGGACGGATTTATGCTGTGGAATAATAAATAATGATGTTTCACAAGTAATATAAAAAAACTCTTAAGTTCATCGTTCCCTGCATAAATTCGTCCTTGCTTTCTCTCTCATTCGCAGCCGCACAAAGCCAGAATCAAGTCGTCACACTTGAATTTCAATGCACCAATCGGTCGAAACACGGCTTCACATTTTGAATGATATATCGAAGACGGATTAATCTTTTTTAATTTTTGAAGGCTTATTTTAAAGCTGTAATTCTAACGAAGATTTCTGTGTTTTTAGAAAAATCTTATCTAAATTTTTCTACATTTTTGAAAAAGTTGAATTGAAAAGACAAAAATGAGAAAATTTGATAATTTTTTTTATTTGTTTCTCACTCTACAACTCAAAAAATAGTTAACGAAATGATTTCAAAGACGTCTTATTTTAGGAAAAATTTAATCAGCTTCCTAACCGTAATTAAGATTTTTTAGTATCTCCTTTTATTTACGAGATATGATTGAAAACGTGATGGCATGTTTTTTCATAGAGTTGCGTGTAATCGTCCTAATACTCGTGGACGGTAGTGTATATGTATATATTTTGTGTTTATTAAATAAATATTCTTTATACTTAAAGAGTAAAATATGTTTGTGAATAAAATTTATATTATTACTTATATATCAGTTATAATAATTTACATAATTATTTTATATATCCTTTTTTTAATGAGCGCGAAAAAGTAAGTGCATTATAGTTAAAAAAAATCAAAATTTACACCACCATTTAAAAAGTTTGCAAATTCGATTCAAAATGAACACTCGGGGGTTTACAGGGTCGCTGATGATGAATCCGATGTCAGTTTTTAAAAATTCAGAATGTCGGATCCAATATGGCGGACATTTTTTTTTTAATTTTTGGATTCGCTTGAAACTTGTCACTCAGGGGTTTTAGGGGTCGCTGATGACGAATCCGATGTCAATTTTTAAAAATACAAAATGGCGGATCTAATATGGCATATCGTGGAGATCCACTTTGTGGCGGCAGCCTAATGTTCGCTTTGCTTGCCATAGAATTGGCCTTTAGGTTTCACCTCTTTTACCTTCATGAAAATGACTAAATGTGAATATAGAAGTACGAATATGATTATATCTTGTTGTTCCGTCGAGTGTAGAACATATATTTTGAGTTGAGTGTAAGCCAGATGGCAAATTGTTAATTCTAATAAAGAATATTAATGAAAGTTGATTCAATTATTTGGTCTCAGGGAATCTGACCAATTTTTGGTATTTTACCATCTAAATTTCCCACACTGGTGAACCTTCGACGCGAGTTATATTTTTACTATATAACATCGTTGGCAGCACGCTGTACCAGCGTCATTAGTTATCTACGTGTATCGGAGTTTTAAAATTACATCCGATGTTGATTCTTACATATACATATAAAGAAAAATTTATTGTATAAATTTTTCCAAAAAGTTTGTGTTTATAATCTTTTTTACACAACTTATGAATTTTTTTCCATGCAGTCACGTTTTCTGTTCATGGATACGCCATCTTTTTATTTTGCTTACACTCTTCTACTCGACTAATTTTCAACACATCTCCACCGACTTTGATGGATGTTAACCTTTTTTGTGTCACTGGATTGTCACTCAACATTTTTGTCTACCTTCGATTTTGGACTTGGTGATACCATCGCAGTCAGCCTGATTCCAGAGACAACTAGTTTGTTAAAAACGCTTTTTTGTTTGCATGGGCTCATCTACTTTGCCCATGCAACAGGTATGTTATCCATTTTCATACCTAATTTTTATTTATTTCCTTCAGTTTCAATCTGAAACATTTTTTTCCGCGCCTGACAATTTTTTTTCTCTATGTGTGCGGAGAAATTTCCTGGTGTCAACGTACTCACCCATCCAAGGAATTCTGGAAGGATATACTGTTCAACGCCTTTTTCCAAAAAAATAAATGAGACCTGTTTTTCTTTGTCTTGACTGCTGCCATGGACATCTGCATATGTGAATTCTACACCTGCACCACTTGTCGTATCATCATCGAAAGGAGACTTTTCGCCTACGCCATTTTCGTGTTAAGTTTATGCACGATTACGTATTTATTGTCGTGAGTTTGTTAATTTTTTTTTCTCTTTTCAAGGAAAATTTTAATTTTAATTTTGCATTGAATATTCAACATTTTAAAGTCACGTTAATCGCTTGATTCTATCTCTTGTTTATATTTCGATAGTCTTTGACTTTTTCAAGGTCAGACCGCGATTGTATTGACTTTTATTGTTTCTACTTATTCGATCTCACATATTTATTCAGCACAATTTATTTTCGAGAAATTTAATATCGTTAAAATTTTATTTTGTCGTTAATAATAATATTTTTGAATGGATTTTTTTTCCGGGATTTTTGTTGAGTGACCGGCATTGTGATACTTTGAATCTTTTTCTTTCTCGCGAAGTTTTTCTTTGATTTTTGCATCATGAATGGTGCCGACGGTCACGGTGGTCCTCCGGGGGCAGTCTCTGCTGATGAGCGTTTTGATCAGTTGCAGCGACAACTTCGTGAAGTTTCTGAAAATGTTGATGGCCTGCAGGATGTGCCTCGTATCGATCGTTTGCGTAGGCTTCCCCGTTTTATTTCTAATGATCCTGAATTTTGGTTCGTTCAGATTGAATCCGCGTTTAGCAATTGTCGTATTACTACTGAAGCAACGAAGGCCCACCACATTATTGCTGAACTTGATCCCGAATTTTTGATTTGCGCGCGCGATATTATTTTAACTCGCCCTGAGCCTGCAAACATTTTTACTTTAATTAAAAATAGATTAGTCGCTACTTATTCCATTTCTACTGAGGCTCGTCTTCGTCAGCTTCTCAAGGGAGATATTTCAACAGACGGAAAACCGTCTTTGATCCTGACTCGATTGCGAAGTTTAGGTGATACACACTGTAGCGAGGAAGTTATCAGGTCTGTTTTTCTCGACCAATTACCTTCTTCTACGCGTGCCATTTTAGCAGCTTCTAATGTCGTTGGTCTACAGGATTTGGCGGTTCTTGCTGATAAGGTCTTTGAGGCGTCTAATTTGTCCAGTTCTTGTTCTGCTGTCAGCTCAGGAGTCACTCCTTCTTCTGCATCGAATAGCTGCACTCTTTTAACCATTGAAACTCAAATCAACGATCTTGTTGCTCGGGTTAATGCATTGAGTACCAGGTCTTCTCGTGGCGGAAATGATCGTTCGCGTTCGGCATCTCGTGGTGATCATCGGGTCAGCTGGAATCCTTCGTCTTCTCGTGGTGATAAGCTAATAACTGTTGGTACCATCATAAGTTTGGGGACAAAGCAAATAAGTGTATTCAACCGTGTTCTTATTCTGCTAAGACAAAAAATAATAATAACGTTGCTGAGTCGGAAAACTAAACATGCCTCCCCGTTCGGAGACTATCGGGTTTGGCACTCCTTCTAGGCGTCTCCATGCTCGTGATCGGAATTCCGGACTTCTCTTTCTTGTCGATACCGGTTCAGATGTCTCGCTCCTTCCCTTCCAACCGGGTTCTAAGCATAAACCATCTGAGATTTTCCTTTTCGCTGCAAATAATACAAGGATTTCTACTTTCGGGGAGAAACGTGTTTCTTTGGACCTTAGTTTGAGGCGGGAGATTAACTGGAATTTTTGTTTGGCTGATGTTCCATACCCGATAATCGGTGCTGACCTTTTGGCCAATCATGGACTTGTTGTGGATCTTGCTCAGCGGAAATTGATAGATTCTGTTACGGATGTTTCTGTTAGTTTTGAAGTTCGTCGTGTGGATTTTTGCAGTGTTTCCACTATTGATTGTCAGATGCTCTTCGCTGAAATTCTTGCCAAGTATCCAGAGATTACCGGCCCGGCGCAGGATTCTTCGAGTTTAGTTGAGGGTGTTTTCCATCATATACTTACTCATGGTCCTCCTCTCGCTGAACGTGCTCGACGACTCTCTCCAGAAAAGTTGATTGCTGCTAAATCTCAGTTTCAAGCGTGGATGAAGTCGGGAGTTTGCCGTCCTTCGAGCGGTTCTTGGGCTGCTCCGTTAAATATGGTTCTTAAGAAGAATGGTGATTGGCGTCCGTGTGGCGATTTCCGTCGTCTTAATTCGGTTACAGAGCCTGACCGCTATCCGGTTCCCCATCTTCACGATTTTTCAGCTCAACTTTCTGGCAAGACAGTGTTCAGTAAAGTTGATTTGCACATGGCCTACAACCAGATTCCTGTCGCTCCTGAGGACATCGAGAAGACAGCTATTATCACACCCTTCGGCCTTTTCGAGTTTCCAATGATGACATTCGGTCTTCGCAACGCAGCACAGACCTTTCAAAGGTACATTTCTCAAGCGCTCGGCGATTTGGAGTATGTTTTTGTCTATATCGATGACATCCTTATCGCTTCGTCCAACATGGACGAACATAAGTGTCATCTTGATGAGGTTTTTTCACGTCTTAAGCGGTTCAGCTTGCGAATCAATATCGATAAATGTCAATTCGGAAGGTCGGAGTTGGAGTTTCTCGGTTTTTTCATTGATCATCGGGGTTCGCGACCTACAACTTAAAAGGTTCAGGCCATATTGTCGTATCCTAAGCCCGATAATGTTACGAAGCTACGCAGATTCTTGGGACTTCCCAACTTTTATCGGCGCAGTATTCGGGGTGCTGCTGCAATTCTTGCTCCGTTGAATGCTTTCTTGACCAGCTCTAAGAAAAATGACAAGACTCCGATTCTCTGGAATTCTGACGCTGATTTCGCTTTTGAAAAAATTAAAACAGAGATTGCCAATTCAACTCTCCTTTTTCACCCTGAACATGACGCTGAGACTCGACTCATTACCGATGCTTCTGACTTCGGAATGGGAGCGGCTCTCGAGCAATTCATTTCGGGTGCTTGGAGACCTTTGGCCTTCTTCTCTAGAAAATTTACTTCTGCTCAAAAGAATTACAGTACCTATGACCGAAAACTTACTGCTATTTTCGAATCAATTAAGCATTTTCGTTATTTTCTGAGTTCTCGTGATTTTTTGATTGTCACAGATCATAAACCACTTATTTTTGCATTTAAACAAAAAACTGAAAAATCATCACCGTGACAGCAGCGTCAGTTGTCCTTTATATCGGAGTTTTCCACTCGTATTGAACATCTCTCGGGATCTGATAATGTCGTTGCGGACGCATTATCTAGGATTGATTTGGTCAACTTGTCTTCCGAGATCGATTTGTCCGAGCTCGCTTTTGCTCAGAGCTCTGATCAGAGTTTAAAGGAGGTACTTTCAGATCCTAAATCATCTCTTTGTCTCAAACAATTGTCTTTCGGTCCTCAAAATATTGCTCTTTTTTGTGACATTTCTGGCGATAATATGCGTCTCTTTATTCCTCTTTCTCTTCGAGAAAAGGTGATGAGTTCTTTCCATTCTTTGTCGCATCCAAGTGCTCGCGTGTTGGATCGTATCATTAGGAAGCGTTTTGTTTGGCCTGAGATGCACAAGCAAATTTCCAATTTTTGTAAAGCATGTCTTGATTGTCAGAGAGCTAAAATCTCAAGACATAATGTCGTCTTGCCTGCTCAATTTGTTGCTCCTGAATCGCGGTTTGAGCATATTCACATGGACATAGTTGGACCTCTTCCGATTGACAATGAATTTCGCTATTGTTTAACTCTTATCGATCGTTTCTCTCGTTGGCCTGAGGCGGTTCCAATTAAAAATATCGAGGCTGCCACTGTCGCACATGCTTTTGTCAGCACATGGATTTCTCGTTACGGTACTCCTAAAACGATGCCTTGTGTTTTTCTTAGCGAATTTAGAGATCACATTCGTCTTGTTAAGCCTGTCCCGGTCACTCATCATCATAAGCGGAAAATTTTTATTCATAAGGATTTGTCGACTTGCTCGCACGTTTTTTTAAGAATCGTTCGCACTTTAAAAAAATCTTTACAATGTCCATATGTTGGACCTTACAAAATTGTAAATCGTTCTACGGACCGTGTTTTTGAAATTGATATCGAAGGAACTCATAAGCAAATCTCCATTGAGAATCTTAAACCTGCTTATATTGCTCGCGAATCTAATGAAATTTTGAATCTGGAATTACCTGCGACTATACCTGTCAGAACGTTTGCGAATCCTAATATTCAATTTTCTAATTCAAGAGACAATCAGAATCGTTCAAATCATTGTTTGGTTCCTTCGAATCACAGCGAGCAAGTCGTTCAAAAAGATCATTTAAGAGTGCCAGTTGATGTAGAGCCGTCTACAATTCAACCACCCGTAAATACGTCGATTAAACCTAAGAAATTTATTCCAAACATTTTAAAAAGAAAGAAGGTATCGTTCGACCTTTAATTTATATTAAGTATTTTTTTTCTCTCTTTGTCAACGAAAACATTTATATTCTTCGTTAAAATTTAAATTTAATTCTATTTTATACCTTTTTCTTTTTTTTCACCAAAGTGTCAACCAATTTGATAAGTATTATGTTAAATGTGTGATATTAATTTTATGTGGAATGTATGACTATATGGTGATTTATGTAATTATTCGTATAATTTAATTAGTCAAATTTTTTATTTTTTTTTATCGTTGACACTTGGAGGGGAGTGTGTGGCGGCAGCCTAATGTTCACTTTGCTTGCCATAGAATTGGCCTTTAGGTTTCCCCTCTTTTACCTTCATGAAAATGACTAAATGTGAATATAGAAGTACGAATATGATTATATCTTGTTGTTCCGTCGAGTGTAGAACATATATTTTGAGTTGAGTGTAAGCCAGATGGCAAATTGTTACTATAAATGAAAGTTGATTCAATTATTTGGTCTCAGGGAATCTGACCAATTTTTGGTATTTTACCATCTAAATTTCCCACAACTTCACCCATGAACTTATTGGAAAGGTGAAATGCGTTAGGAAATTTCAATGGAATTAAAATTTTAACTCTCTCTTTATAGCTGTTCTATGAAACCGGCATTTGTAAAATTTGTTCTACTTTTATGATAAAAACAACACGAGATCCCAATGCAATTTTTTCTCATTTTTTACCTTTAATATAGTATTCTTTCCACAATACAATTATTAATTTAACAATTGACCTTTTCATGTTTTTACGATCGTTAACATACGCATACACTTATATGAAGTTGCTTCGTTCTTCAATTGTTTTCCATATCAATATTCTTTTGTTTTTTACAATCATTCAAATACTCAAATACACTTCTTTAATCCGATTTCTATTTTATTGTTTTTCTACACTAAAGTAATACAGTTTCAGATACACTAGTATCAGTCATACAGTATTTGTTTTGTTCAGTACCGATATTAATTTGTTTTTTACAATCATCTAAGTACTGAAGCACACGTCTTTAAATGTTTTTTCACTCTGGAGTAATAAATCAACATTGTTCGTTATAGATGCGTTTATTTCCCATATACACTGAAAAAATTCTGTGTCGCTACCTTACCTATGAATGTCACTACCACACAGATCAGATGGTAAGTACTATCCCGATTTCGGAAGGGAGATTAGCTCTTAAGGGAACACTACCTCACCGCGAAAGAAGGCTACAACACTGGTTTTTCGTCCAATCAGCGACCCCGAATTGAGAGAGCATAGCACGTCACAGCTCACACGCATATACACCGAATTAAAATCTCAGCGTGCTCAATACGAGGTTGCACTAATCTCGAGATATCGGTATGACAGCCTCCCGTCTATTCGGGAAGGCTACCTGCTCTCGAGATTCGTTGACGCACCCGAAAACCGAAGGGCAGAGCACTCGAGGCAAGAGAATGTAGCGCCATCACCATACATGTGGCAGCCACACAGAACTTTTTTCAGTGTAGCAATTCGAAAATTATGTTCTTCATTTGTGAAAATTGATTTTCTTCACTTTTGTCCTTTTTACTTATTAGCTTTGTAGTAATACTTCATTTATTTAGCAAAAGACATTGTTTGCTTAAAAATGCCGAGGCGTAAGAATAGCAATCCTGGTGAATTTCCTCCACCTAATAAAAAAGGAAAGAGATCTAAATCATATAGACTTGAATTTGAAGTAGATGATGAAAATGATATATATGATGACGTTATTGTTTTTCCGAATCCTGATGATTCTGGCGAGTCCGATGCAGATTCTGTAGATGACATTGATGATTTGTCGAATTTGAATAAAGATGAAAGGGGACCTAAAATTTCTTATAAAAAAAATTTTTGAAAGCTATTGTGAAGGGCAAGATAAACTAGAAGGTCAACATGAGTATAAATGAACAAATGGTTAGAAAAAATATTCTAGCGATGTAAAAGATTTGTTGCTTCTTACAGAGCAACAAAAGAAGATAATTTGCAATTATTCTGCGGTTGAACTCTTTGAGCTTTTC